ATCTTGGTCTTGTAGCTGGCAAAGCTTCGGCGGGCATTGCGGATGCTCCTCCCAGCCTCTGCTGCTTCAGCTAATACTGCTGCTCTTCGCTCCTTGAGATCTGCAGCTCGTGCGGCTCCACGCTGGCGTATCAGTTCGAGAGTTTCCGGAGACAGACGTCCCTTGGTGACTTTCAAACTCTCTGCCTTCCTGCCACAATCGTGAAGATGTTCAACGAGCCGATAGTACTCCTCGTCGATGTTTTCGATGACGGAATCCTCCCATAAGCTGACGAGAGAAGTGAAGTGGTCCCAGTTGATGACTGTCCTGGGGCTTCGCTTCCTGAACTTTGCTGCTCTCTCAACACGCATCGAGAAGTGGAATCTTGCGCGGAGGAGACGATGGTCCGATCCCGTGTAGAACTTTGGAACAACAGCGACGTCGGTCAGGCAAAACCTTCGATTGAAGATGATGTGGTCTATCTCGTTAAAACTCAGACAGTCTCTCGCCCTGCTCATTCCATTCCATTCCGTGAGTACCGATGTGAAGTTCTTCAGCCGTTCTTCTTGGGCCAATCTTGGCGTTGAAGTCGCCGACGATGACCTTGAAGAAGGTATGATCTTCCTGTAGAACTTCTCCAATTCCATATAAAATGCTTCGTGTTCCTCCTCGTCGTAGCTGGATGTTGGTGCGTAGGCGACGAAGATTGTCAAAGCAGGAGTTGAACCACATCTTCTCAATCTCAAACGTCCGATTCGGGTCGTAAGGCTTTCGTACGAATCGATGTTTATGGCCAAGTGCGTGTTGACGAGGACACCCACACCGCCAACGCCTCTGCTGTCGCATGTTCCAAGGAACAGTTCTTCTCCAGTATCGAAAACGGCGTGTAGCGGGCGGTGCCTTCTCGTCTCGGTCAGTCCGATGACGTCGTACTTGATCTTCCTGGCCTGCATCATCAGATCTTCGATGTGAGCTTCGGATGCAAGCGTTCGTGCGTTGAAAGTACAGATCGCCATCTTAGTCCTTCTTCGTTTAGGCAGCCTATCCGGGCCCTGAGATTCTAGCAGCCTCTCCCGAGCGGTCCTACCCAACGCTGCCGTATTGGGGGCTCCCTCAGGTTCAGGGGAATGAGGCCCATCCATATTGCTGTTTTCGGCATATTGAAGGCACACGAGTAGCTTGCCAGGCTCTGTCGTGTGGGCTAGGATAGACCTCCAGGTAGTTAGCCACGCTATCCTGGAGCGGAACAAGGGGCTTATTTTTTGGAGGCGGCCCCGAATCGCCTCCCATGTACTTCCCAGTCACTTGAATGCAAGCTTTTGGCTGTGCCGACATGCAGGATACCAACCGCACACACACAGAGCGCACCACACACGCAAGCATGCATGGATACGCCTGAGTGGAGACAGCTGGTATGAATCAACACAGCACTACAGAAACAGGGAGTCCATCCCCTGAATCCACCTGCGTCTCAGGGCAAGTACATGGTGGCTTTTGGTCCGCGATTTACCCCCTATCCGCCACCTGGGGTCGCGCCACGTAGCCTCGCCACCAACCGGCTCGAGATCTTTCAGTGAGAGAGGACCCTCAGTGAAAGAGATCCGTGGTCTCACCGCTATGCTGCATCAAGTGTTAATCAATAGCGCGATGGTAACAAACCCTTATGTAAGGCAATCTGGGTGGAATTTCGGCTGGAGCAATGTTTTTGACCATGATTCAACATCCTTGTGATAACTTTCCCATCGCGATCTGCGGAATGAGCATTAAGTTAGGATAAATATGTTCCATAGTTAGAGTAAAAATTTTACTGCAATATATTCACAAATACAAGTTCCACTGTTTAGGTCATTGCATCCGCTCGTAATCATCCTAACGCGTGTGCCAAAATGATTCGAGCCCTAAATGAATTCAGAATTCGCGGAGTCAAGGTGAGTATCTTTCCTATTGAGCTTATTGCTGAAAAGAACGCTGTTTTTGCAGACAAATATTCCTTTCCTGCTCAACGTCCTCCAACAGCCGGCATTCCTCGATGCATCCGTTGACACCTACTTTATTGACGAACACCCGAATCTTTTCGAATTTCGACGAAGTCAAAATCGTGCTCAGAAGTTGCTCAGTTTCCTGGGAGAAGTTCAGGTCTGTCTTTCGTAGGGTTATTTGGGTATAGAGTGCTGTATGAGGTAGTCATTCCATTACGACTATGAACAGGTGAATGGGCCCACAACGCCTCTTGCTACGGATCTCAAGCCGGCTTATGTCGACCCAGTGGTACCTGCTATTCGCTCTGGTATGTTAAGGACCATTGTTCTGATGAGAGAAGAGCATGAGAATATTCTTGCAGTAATAAAATATTGCACTCCCTTTGGCGACTTGATCAATCTCATCTCTTTTGATTTTATCAAATGATAACAATATATGATTGAGTCGCACTGTTGCAGGATTCTCGGCGTCAACGGAAGATGAATGTAGGCACTAGTGAAGTTCATTAAATACATTTTCTAAGAAATACCTTAGCATACTGCTTCCTATGAGAACACTAGTTCTGCCTTAGTAAACAAAAGCGTAATACGAAGTTCTAACTTTAGAGCTGTATCAAAGGAGCGTTTACTGTGAAATTTATCTTCACTGTTACCTTCCTTGTACCTGTGGCATGATAGTCGCGAAAAGTTTCCGCAACATATCAGCTTTGATTTGCACAGAAGCCTAGACACGACTTTTCCGCCGTCCTAAAAATTGTAGTAGTTTGGAGTTTCGGAAGGATTTTTTCGTTACAATTGTGTCACAGGTACAAATATATGGTCCATTATAATTGGTCCCTCTTCCAAGAAATTTAGATTACAGGTTCGCCACCTCCCGTAGGTCTCCGACAGGTTCTTGTCAAAGACGGTCCTGAGGCGTTTGCACGGGCAGTACGACGCACGTCTGGATGCATGGTCACCGATACTACTTTCCGGTATCACTTTTGAAGTGTAGTTCAATTGCAGTAGGCAACTTAAAGCAACATGAGGTCCTGTCAAACATTCTAATCTGCGGATAGGATGGGGTAGCTGGCGAGTATCACAGTTTGCCGTTTTCACTGCTTGAAGCTTCGCGACAATCACGCACATACTTTACTGGGTGAGCTAATGGCAGCTATCGTGAGCTAATGGACGAGAGATACCTCGCGCATATACCATGACACGCAACGTAGATTATGGCGTAGCGGCTAATCAAATCCGCGCTGGTCAGTGGAGCTATGCGCAAGCGAGCTCAGGTAACTCGTCCAGACGCGCCCTTAACTCTTCCAAGAGGGAGAAGAGGGCGCCTTGTTAAGGTTTTCATCGGCGCTTTGCCTCTCTTCTTTTTTATTTAATGTGACCTCCGTGTCCACAGTTTCATTGTCGACCACTGTTCCTCACCAATTCGATCTGGAGCTGTGCTTTAAAGGGATGCCCCAGGACCGAATTAGTGTGATTTTGCACATGACTGTGAAAGTAGTGGTGCGATCTGGGCCGGTAGAGAAACCGAAAAAGAACCGTCGAAAACGCCTAGTCGAGGGCTTGAACAACTTCGTGAGCTGCTGTGTTAAGGTAGTAAGAAACCGAGCGCGGAGAGGAGAGAGTATAGTGTGAGGTTAGAGAGCGAGAAGGCGTCAGACCAGAGCCTGCTGTGAACGGGAATATCTGAAGCTGTTGAAGCTGTCTATGCAAGTTCTAGCGCCCTTATCGGGCCTTCTCCAGCACGGGGTGCGCTCTGTTGTTCTCTAGGGGGTTTCTCCCACATACCGAAGGGAATCGTACACCCGACTCCTGTCTGAGTTGTTCTTTGGAAGAATGTGAGTTGTCTGAGTTGTTCCTTGGAAGAATGTGAGTGTATTCATTGAAAAAAAGCGTTGGAAGAGCCTAAGAGTGTTCTATTTCGCAGAGATGCTCATCAGTCGTTACTTGCAACTCGAGTTCGAACCTACGATATGGCGAGAATAGCGCCGTTCGTCAGTCATGCATTCCCACACTTGTATTCCATGGAGAACTGGGGAGGTATAACATACAGTGATCGATGTTTTAATGTTTTTGGCACGATTGTAAGATTACTTTCATCAGGTGCGACTTTTGACGTTTCCATGCGTTTCCTGCACGAATGTCCATGGGAACGACTTGAGACACTTCGGCAGCTCATTCCAAATATTCCGTTCCAATGTCTTCTAAGAGGAGCGAACGCTGTCGGCTATAGCAACTACCCGGACAACGTCATCGACAAGTTGGTATTCAACTCATATGTCTATTGCATTTATACATAGTATCGGCACTCATGAAAAAAAAACCTAGTTAAACAGCCTCTATTAAGGACCAGTTTCAAAGTTATCGTGGAGAAGGGTAAAAGATAAAGCTTTGCTGATCGGCCCCTATAGGATGCGACTTTACCCCATTACATAACGCGGCGTTTTTCACTGGCCGGCGCCTGTTCATAGTCGCCAGCGCGTGTTGCGCGACGAACAAATTTATTCATTCTTAGCTTGCACGTCTATCATATTTACACTTCGCATGTATTTTATAAATTCACAATATTTACACGTTTGTGTGTTATGACAGAAATTGATTATTATTACGCGTTTGAGGTGATGAGGTAACCAAAAGTGCGGAAGGGAATGAAAATGTATTTCGAAAAAGATAAGTAAAAAAGTCGCAAAATGTTATTTAGCCAAAGCCATTTCTGCTAATTTAAGCCTACGAAGCTGTCACAATGGGGAGAGGGGGGTTTCTACAAATTCAAAAGAAAAAATGAGAAGGTTGTGACTGATATTTTTCACAGCAAGAACAAATAAATATTAGGTTGTCCCATAATTAGTGAATCACTTTACATTTATTGTTATTAAAAATCCAAGAAAAATGGTGAAGGCGTGAAACATGTTTTGCGAAGTAGCATCCACATTATCCTACCTGAGCAATTACTCAGCCCATTTACATGCTGCCTTCCGTGGCTGATACTTCAATTTTTCTGGAACCTATTTTTGAGCTCCCTTCTTAATCACTTCTGATTAGGATCTTTCAAACGCCCAACAACATAGAGAATCAACCAGCAGATAGGCGAGGGCACGCTCCCTCAATCCACGGTCTGCTTGTAGTTCACTCTATCGAGAGGTTGGCTTTTTAGTTGAAGATGACCCACACTCCAACTACCCTCAACTGGCAATCTCACTGC